ATTTCATTCAGTTATTGTAGTTTTCAGCTCCAAACTTGTATCTGGTTCTTTTTTATAATTACTCTTTATTGATTGATAGTCTCTATTTGGTAAGACATTGCTCTCATACTTTGTTTCAGTTCTTTGACATGGTTTTCTGTAATTATTGGAACATATTCATAATAGATAATTTAAAAGATTTTGTCTAGTAAGTCCAACATCTGGCCTTCCTTAGGGATAGTTTCTATTGAATGACTTTTCTTCCTGTGTTTAGACCATACTTCCTGTTTCTTTTGTGTCTCATATTTTTATTGTTGTTCTTGATAACTGGACATTTTATATAACATATGTGGCAGCTCTGGGAATTAGATTCCTTCCCTCCCCAGGGTTAGTTGTAATTGTTGTTTGTGGTTTGTGTTAATGCTGCTATTGCCTTTTGTTTAAGGACTTCCTGAACAAAGTCTGTGAAGTTTGTAGTTGTTGGGTTTTTGTTTTTTATTTGATTTGTTTTGTTACATGTGGCCACTGAAATCTCTGCTTAGTTTAGCTTAGTGGTTAAGTCAACGACTGGACAAAGACTTCCTGAAATGCCTTGAATCAGGATATCACCTAGGCATTGCCAAAGGGCATTATGTGTGTGGTGGGGCATGTTTTCAACTCTCTAGCAGGCAGCTTACACCTCTGCCTTAGTCTTCAGTTCCTGCTTATACAGAGCTTCAACGTCAGGCATTGGTGGGAAATTCAGGCCTTCCTGAGCATGGGTACAGTCTTGCACATGTGCATGGTCTTCTAGAGTCCCAGGATTATGTCAGAGCTTTTCAAAATCCCCTATGGACATCTTATTCCCAAGATTTTCCTTTTAAGTGTTTGGTCAGCTTTTTGTTTGCCCCAGTTGTTTTCCAACTTAGGCAGTTGAGATGCTAAATAATTGCCTCTGATTGTTTTCAACAAATGTCCTGGGGAAAAGGCTGTTCACACTGAGCACACTCTGAATCGGGTCAAATAAAGATAAGTCTTCTGATTAGGGATTAACAGGGAATGCCAGACATGTTAAATAATGACAATTCCCTGAGAATGGGGCTTTTTAGAGGGTTCCAAACCCATTCTGCCCCAGTAGGGGCTACTAGGCTGCTGGTTTTCATGGTTACTGTGATTGTGAAGTTATTTGTTTTTAATAATTTTACAGAATTGGGAAGAGAAGGATGGAAATAGGTCATGTTTAAACACCACAAATCTTGGGGCACCTGGGTGGCTCAGTTGTTAAGCTTCTGCCTTCGGCTCAGGTCATGATCCCAGGGTCCTGGGATCAAGCCCTGCATCGGGCCCCCTGCTCAGCCAGGAGTCTGCTTCTCCCTCTCCCATTCCCCCTGTTTGTGTTCCCTCTCTCTCTGTGTCTCTCTCTGTCAAATAAATAAAA